CAGAGAGAGGGAAGGCCAGGCTGAAGCCAAGTCCTGTCCGGCCACACCGCACGGTCCTGAGCGTCCATTTGTCACTTCTAAACCTCAGAGGAAGTGCACTAAAGAATTCCTTCACAATGTTCTGGACTAACCCTGAAATGGTGAGAAAACACAGTTTTGGAGGAATGTATGTAACTGTCAGCTTAGTAGGAAGTGCTTTAAGGATTGATACATGTGGAGTGGAAGAAGTTGGCATTTATCCTATAGAAATACACGTGTGAATCACTTTGTAAATTACATAAATGTCTCGCCACTATGCTGAACACCTGAAACTAATATAAAATAATACTGAATATCAACTGTAATTGGGAAAAAAAAATCTCTATGAAAAGAGCTATATTTCAACAGTATTTAAAGGACCACTTTAGTTTTTAATACTTAATATAAAGTCATATTAAACTTAAAAAAAAAAAAAAGTAGCCCTGGCTGGTATGGCTCAGTGGATTGAGTGCAGACCTGCAAATTGAAAAGTCACCAGTTCAATTCCCAGTCAGGGCACAAGCCTGGGTTGTGGGCCAGGTCCCCAGTTGGGGGTGCGTGAGAGGCAACCAATCAATGTCTCTCTCGCACATTGATATTTATCTCCCTCTCATTCTCCCTTTCTTTCCTTCTCTCAATGTAAATAAATAAAATCTTTTAAAAAATATGTGTGTGAATGATATATGCCCAACGTTAACACCATTGCACTAAACTAGAAATGCACTGCAATGTTATTGCTGTGGGGGGGGTGGGGTGGTAACATACATAACATCAAGTGTGTCATTTAAACCATTTTTAAGGATGTGCGTTTGATGGCAATAAGTATATTCACGTAGATGTGCAAACAGCACTGAATTTTGTTTTTATTTTTTATTTTACTTCATCTTTTCCGTCTTTTTTTTAAGAGCAGTGTTTTGACATGGCCAGAAGTGCAGGGTGGTGAGGGGCTGGCTTGGCGCAGCGTGGCCCTTTCCACGCCGGACCCCCCGGGAGTGACTCTCCCCATCTCGTGATCGGGGCAGCTTTTGGCTTCGTTCTGCTCCCTCAGCCCCGTCTCCCCACAGAGCAGGGGCTCTGCTGGCCTCAAGGGGCCTTCCGTGGCCGGAACCGCGAGCGTGGGGCCGACAGACCCACGCTGCTGCCACGTGCACTGCCGCGCCTCACTCTGGGGGCCTCTAGTGGCCGCCCTGGCTTGGGCACAGGGCTGCTTTGCCCTCTCGGTTCCTGCCCAGAACTTACCAGCTCTTCCCAGAGACCGGACAGGCCAGGGCAGGGAGGGGAGGGAGCAGCTCTGCCAGGGAACAGCTGAACTCCGGGCGCTGGGGCTCTGGGCTCGGTCAGCTGGCCCGGCCCTGCCAGCTGGTCTCCTGGCCACCTGCCTGGGGGCCTGTCCCATCCTGCCGCCACCCAAAACTCCACTGGGAAGCCCTTTCACACCCGTCCAGGGACCTGGTGAGATGCTGAAGCTTGGGTTAGTGTGACTCTGGAGCCCTGCCAGAAAAACAGCTTGGTCCACATTCTGCCCCTGTGGGTAAGGCAATTAGTTGTATTGTAGAAGGACAACCTGTCGTGAGGCTTGGTGGCAGGATTTAACTGTGTGCTTTTAGAATCACAGCGGGGGTGGGGAGGAGTGGTGGCTGTCTGCAGAGGCAGCAAGGGGCAGGTGAGGAGCCCGGGGCTGATCAAAGGTGAGCCTGTTTGCTCCCTGGCCTGGGGCCAGGGAAGCTGGCGCCAGGCCTCAGTGATTGCAGCCAAAATGTTAGAGGTTGGCAGTGAGCCCCACCCAAGAGCGGGGTGAGGATGAGGTGTGGTCGCGGGACAAGCCACATGGAGTGAAGTTAATTGGCCTCGACAGGTGCCAGCAGTTAAATGGCCCATCTCATTTGCCTTTTGCTTTCCTTACCAACCTTCGGTCAGCTCGTCCCACCCCCCCAAGACTGGCTCTGAACTCTGGTCACACCAGCGCGCCCTGAAGTCTGAGCTGAGCCCGCCAGACCTGCCCTCCTCTGAGTTCACCCCTCTATCAATCTCTCCTCAGGACTTTTGGGGGCCTGACCTGTACTGCTTTGGGTTTGCTTTCAAACATATGCCAAGTAACTAGAGTAATGAGACCTTACAAACAAGCAAACAAAAAACAACTGAATTCACTAGGTTTGATCTACTTAAATGACAGCAGCCTTTTGGTGGCCCCTTGCAAGCTTAAACCCATTTCATTGATGTTTTCATTCTTCAACTCATGTGAGAAGTTCCTAGGTAATGGGAAGTCAGCACTTAGGTACAAAAATCTAGTATCTAAAACTTGGCCCTGACATTACTCTGTATTGATTCAACTGAAGGCGGAATTTGCATCTAAGAGAGAAAGGAGGTCAGCCTAGGACAGAGTCCTACAAATGTTTGGGGACAATTAGGGAACTTCCAGCCAACCCAGGATTCTAGTGCCAGAAAAGTCAGGGGAGATCCCAGGAACCGCCTTTCACACCAGCGTCCCAGGCCAGGCTGATCACCAGCAGGAACGCGGGGTCCTCTCTGGGAGGCGTGGCTGGAGGGCGGCGGGTAGAGCGAAGAAGGGCAGCGTCTGTCCTTGGGACGCTGTGGGCGGGAACGTGAAATTGTGCAGCCACTGGGAAAAACACTTGAATGGTCCCGCGGACTCTCAAATCTGGAAATTATCGCATGACCCAGCAGTTCCTCTCCTAAGCATAGACACAGGGGAGCGGAAAGCAGGCGCTCCAGGAAATGGGCACCTGGGACGACCTTCGTGCTTCGCCGGGAGTCGGAACACAGCGAGGGGCGCCTCCGCGCGCGGGCGCGTTCTCCGCGGGAGGCGTGCGCTCTCCCTGGAGCCGGAGGGCGCGGTCCTGGGACCGCGGCTGCCGCGAGGCCGTACGAGCGCTGATGGGCAGGACTCGGTCGGACGCCGTGGCGAGCAGCCGCGACCGCGCCCGGGGTTCACAACCCCAGCACCTCACCCTCCAGGACCTGCCCTGGACGGCGAGCGGGCATCGCCACGTGCTTTTCCCCTCTCTGACCCTCCCCAGCCGACGTGCCCACTTTGCACTTGTGGACGACTTGTTAGTTGACCTAAACATCCTCAGGGTGGGCGGGAGGGCTGTGGAGAAGGCGGCAGGTGAGGCCTCTGGGTCCCACGGCGATTGGCTTCCGGGCGGAGGCTCTGGTTACAGGGACGGCCCCTTGTGCAAGTCAGTCGCCTCTGGACTCTTGACCTGTCTTCTGTAGGATGTTTTGCTTCCCACAAGCATTAAAGAGAAACAGAGCCAAGGACTGAGGTACCTGTACAAAGGTGCTTTGCCCCGTGCTCTTTCTGAGGTTAAAAGCTGGGAATGCCCTGCGCACACTAGAGGATTGGTAAAGTAACTTTTAGTGTATCTATAAATAAAGTATTATACAACCATTAGAAATACTGATAAACCGTATATTTATTCACTTGGAGGTGTTAAGTAAACAATATAACATAAAATAAGTTAGAAAAGAAAGTATATTCCAAAATATTAAAAGTGATCATCTCTGGGCAGAATATTGGTATTGACAGAATTAACTAATCTGAGGAGTGGGTGAGGTGCAGGGTCCTGAGCCCCACACTCAGAGGCCCTCGCCCCGTCTGCCCCAAGCCCCAGGCTGGCCCTCACCCACCGCGTCACTCCTGCCGGTCTGGGGGCCCTTGGGCCCCTCCGTGAAGCTGACGGACACGATGCGTCCTGTCCCCGGGAAAGCACCTGGGTGCAGCAAACCTGGGTGCAGTCTGAAGAGATGGCCTGTGACTCCAGGCAAGAGCCCCCGATGGGGAACGAGAAGTCAGCCTCCTATTTTTTTCTTGTTCTTTTCTGTCCTCAGAAGACCCCTTGCTCCCGACTCCCTGAAGGCTGAGGACCTCAGCCAGGCAGCATGGGCTGGGCCACTGCCTGGTCAGAGAACATCCCTTTCGTGCGTCTCTGTCACGATGCGGTTGCCAGTGCCATTGAAAGGGGCACATAGCAGTGGGCAGGCCACAGCGGTGGCCCTGGGGCTTGTGCCACTCGCAGTCCCTTCTTGCCTCCCCACTGGGTCCCTGGCAGGACAAGCTGCCTGGATGGCCGCACAAGGCCAGGGAAGCTGTCCCCAAATTTTGATGCTCGTTTACACTGGTAACAAAAGTCCCTCCATTTACCCACATACCATTTCATTTCTGCTGATCAGGACCCCTACAGCAAGATGGGAATATTTCCCACAGGATGAGTGGGGTTAGGGGCAAAGGTGATACTTTATGGTCATAAACTTTGGGACCCTAAGAACATTTTATTAACAGACCTTACGATTTCCTCTTTTTGTGTGTGCCTCAAAAGTCGTGGATGGCTCGGGCAGTGGACAGTCAAGGCTTCCAAGAGAAAAGAGGACGCTCAGAAGTCAGGTCCGACGGGAGGAGTCGGTGTCGCGGCAGTGGCCTTCGCCACCAGGTGGCAGCACTGGCCACTGTGATCGCGCAGGGTGTCCAGGAAGCCCAAGAACTGGGAGAGCCCCATCTGGCTGCTCCACGGGAGGGCCGTCCTTTCCCCACAGGCTCTGCCCTGGAACCCGTGGGTCCAGGGCCTGTAGGGGTCTCCACAGCCCTCGGCCTAACACCCGCATCTGTCCCTGGTTCGGCCCAGGGGAGTGCTGCCCGGCAGGAGCCAGGGAAAGATGGCCTAGGGCAGGTAGAGCTTTCTTAGCCCTGGCATTTAAAAAAAGGAAAAAAAACCCAAACATTTTTCTTTTATTTAATATCTAATATTAAAAAAAAAATAAAAATCCGAAAAACAACAACCCAAACAATCCATCTGACTGTTGACGGCACGCCTGGTCTCAGTCCCCTATCCGGAGCTGCGCTGAAGGTGCGGCCCCACCAGGCCACTCGGAGGCCGGGGGGCGGGGGGCCCGGGGCCCGGGGCCCGGGGGGCAACCCAGCAGCGGCCGGAGTCCCAGCCTCGACCCAGCTCGCCTGGGACCACCGAGGACCCGGCGTTTCCGAAAGGCTGCCAGGACTGTTTTTAAAACGTGCGGTTGCTCTGGGAGGAAATTTTCCTTCGAGTCTGGGCTGAGGGTTATTTCTTGTGGAGAAACTTCATTTTATTGCCTAAAAAAAGAAAACGAGAACATTGCACCAGGCAGATGAAGGAGGCCGAGGGATTAAATCCTGCCCGTTTCCCCCCACTGCCATGTGCACAGCGGTGGCCCTGCGCCAGCCAGTGTCCCCCCAGGGAAAGGGCTCGTCCTCGGGCTCGGGGAGTTTCGCAAGGAAGGCCATCAGGGCTGCAGGCACTGCTTCTGAAATGGTGACACAGGCATCTCTGAACGTAACGTCCCAAGGAGCCAAGTGAGGAGCGAGCTCCTGGCGGCGTGGCGGGCAGGCGGTCCATCCCAGGTGACCATCTGCTCATCCGTGTGAGGGACAAGCAGGCGCCTCACAGGCCCTCACCGCCTCAGCTCCTCCTCACTGGGCTGCGCCCTCGGTCCGCTGGTTTCATTTCTCCTTTTCATCCTCCCCTTCCCGGCAAGGGCCCCGTCACCGTTACACGGCAGCCCTATCGTTCTCGGGCTTCCCCTCTGGGGGCCACTGGGAGGCCGGGCCAGCGCTCTGCTGCAGGTGCCCGCGCCCAAAGACGCAGGAGTGCGGAGCCGGCAGAGACGGGGCAGCAGCCCCGCCGGGCCCAGGGGGGCTGGAGGGGCCTCAGCCGCCTTTGAGGACACTCGCGGGTCAGGTCGGAACGGGAGGTTACACGCCCAGCCTGCTGCCCGGCACAGGCCGCGGCGCGCCGCCTTGTTTAGGTCCGGCTCTGGCACACGAACCAGCGGCCGGTCAGTGATGGGCGCCGAGACCCGCCGCCTTACCTAGTCCCTTCAGGAACTTGTTGACACCGCTGTGCTCTCCGCTGGGGAGTGTCTCCAGGTACTCCTGGGCTCGGACCTCAAACAGACCTGCGGGCGAGAGCAACCCCGGCCGTCAGGGGCCGTTCCCTCGGCCCTCCTGACCCGTCCGCTTCCCTTCTGCTCCGGGCGGGAGGACGCCTGCCTCTGAGGTGGGCTGCTCCAATAAACAGGCGCTGAGCCTAAGGCTGATACGGGTTTTTATGACCCTTATAATTGCCCAGCTTTGTGGAATAAACTTGTCTTTGGAAAACTGTAAAGCCAGCTCCTACATGAAATACTATTTTTATTCAACAAACACCTTTCGAGTGCCTGCGCTGTGCCAGGCACGCGGTTTGCAAGGTGAACCGGACGGTGCTGGCTCTTGGGAACTCCTGCACTTCGCCTTCTCCTCGTGTTCTCCCATAAGAGGGACCCCGGCCTGGGGGGCAGCTTCCCGGGAACCGCTGCCGCCTGTGGGCGGCGGAAGGCTGCCCCCCCCAACCCCCCTCTCCCACGGGGGTGTGCCCCTCAGGGCTCTGCCCTCCTCCGCTCTGATCTCCAAGGACAGAGGGTGCCGTCCATGCCAGATTAAGCTTTTATGTCTGGTCCCCTCTATCAAACAGCATTCTGTAAGCAGACATGGATGCGTACCCAGCAGGCCGTCTGTCTAGAAGGACCCTTTGATCGGATGCTGCATGGCTCATGTTCTGTGACCAATTTTCTTTTGTCTCTGCAGATGCCAGTCAACAGAAGTGCCTGAAGTGTGGCGGGCACCTCCTGCCGTCCCTGCCCAGCGGGGAAGGTGCCCCTCACCTTTGGCATCCTGCCGACGCAGCTCCCGCTCCTGGATGAAGCCGCGGAACATCTGGGTCTCCATGAACACCTCCAGGAAGCGGCGGAGGCTCTTGGAGGAGACGGCCTTGCGGAAGGCCTCGCGCTGCAGGGCTCTCTCCTCGCCCACCGTCAGGAACAGGGAGTAGTGGCCCACGACCTCCACGAAGAAGCGGACGAAGGCTTCGGACACCACCTCGTTGAAGGGGCTGGACTCGGGGCCTAAGCACAGGGGGCAGGGGCCCGGGCGGGGGGGCGGTTAGAGCCTCTGAGACAAGTGGATTGGCAATACAAGAACTCCTAGCTCCGTTGATGAAAAATTGTAATGATCCATAAAAAGGTTACCTGAACTTATTAAGTCATTTCTTTCCTCCCTTATTTAAACAGATATTTTAGGGCCAAAATGGGGAAGGCGGGAGAACTTCCCCACAGTTCACTGCTACAGTGGGATCCGGATGAATGGGGCGAGCGCCCAGTCTCTCCTTGCACATCCCTCCCGCCCACTGCCCCACGAAGCCCACTGCCCAGTGGGGCCACGGCCTTGGCCATCTGCTCCCTGACTAGCAATGAGGGGGAGACGCAGTCTGGGTGGCAGCTGAGCATTTACCGCGCTTGCAGTCAGGGGGCCCTTCATCCGGGTCACTGGCCAGCTCATTCCTTTGGTCCAGAACGTGTTCCAGGGCTACCTGAAGCTTCCGGGGCAGAATGGAATCCTCGTCGTCCATCTGTAAAGCAGAAAAAACAGGGAGGCCATGGCCCCCGTGCCTATGGAGACGGTGGCCACATCTCGTCCGGCAGGACACACTAGATACCCCACAGGGCAGTCCTGCACAGGTCTCAGGTTAGTGGAAGGAACATGACTTAAGAGCCAGAGGTCTCAGGTTTGAATCTCAATTCTTATTATAAACTGCATGAGCCTCCATTTTCCCTTTGTAAAACGAGTTCCCAATCAATATCTACCTCATTGTTAGGATTAAATGCAATATGCAAGACACTGAAGAAAGAAACTGAAGACATAAATAAGTGAAAAGATATCCTGTGTTCATGGGTAGAAAGAATTAATGTTGTTAAAATGTCCATACTACCCAAAGTGAGCTGGAGTCAATGCAACCCCTATCAAAAGTCCAATGGTGTTCTTCACAGAAATAGAAAAACAATCCTAAAATTCATGTGGAACTACAAGAGATCCCAAATAGACAAAGCAATCCTGAGAAAGAAGAACAAAGCTAGAGGCATCGCAAGTCTTGATTTCAAACTTAATTACAAAGGAAAGTCATCAAACACAGTATGGTACTGGCATGAAACCAGACACAAAAACCAGTGAAAACAGAATCAACAGTCCAGAAATCAATCCACACATATCTGGTCAACTAACAGTTCACAAGGGAGCCAAGGATACTCAATGACAAAATCACAATCTCTTTAATAAGTGGCCCTGGGGTAACTGGATATTCACATGTAAAGGAATGAACTTGGACCCCACCTTACACCACTCACAAAAATTAACTCAAAATGCATGAAGACTTAAATGTAAGACCAGAAACTATAAAACTACTAGAAGAAAACATAGGGAAAAAGCACTATGGCATTAGTCTTGGCAGCGACTTTTAAAAACTGAGTGAAGGACGTGAACAGACATTTTTCCAAAGAAGACATCTGAGTGGCCAAGAGGTACAGGAAAAGATGCTCAGCATCACTAATCATCAGGGAAATGCTAATCAACATCACAATGACATTATCACTTCACACCTGTTACAACAGCTACCATCAACAAGACTAGAGGTAACAAGTGTTGGTGGGAATGTAAATTGGTGTAGCTAGTAAGGAAACTATGCAGGTTCCTCAAAAAATTAAGGACAGAACTACCAGATGATCCAGCAATCCCACTCCTGGATGTCTACCCAAAGGAAATCGAATCGCTGCCTTGAAGAGAAATCTGCACTCCATGTTCACTGCAGCATTATTCCCAGCAGCCAAGACATAGAAACAACCTAAGTGTCCACCAACAGATGAGTGGATGAAGAAAGGGTCACACACAGAGACAGACTCATACGTGCACACACAGAGGAATATTATTTAGCCATAAAAAAGAAAATCCTACCTTTTGCGACAACATGGATGAAACTGGAGGGCATTATGCTAAGAGAAATAAATCAGACAGAGAAAGACAAATACTGTATGTTCTCACTTACATTTGGAATCTAAAAAACCAAACTCATTAGAAATAGAAGAGTGGAAGGGTGATTGCCAGAGGCCAGGACTGAGGGAGATGTTGGGCAAAGGGCACAAACTCCCAGCTCTGGGACAAGTAAGTTCCGGGGAATCTAACACACAGCGCGGTGACTGGGGTTAACAGTACTGCATTTCTCCTTGAAAGCTATTAGGAGGGTAGCTCTTAAGTGTTATCACCACACACACAAAAAAGGTAGTTATGTGAGGCAATGGCTGTTACCTAAACTTTTTGTGGTCATCACTGCACAACAGACACACGTATCAAACCATCATGTTGTATACCTTGAGCTTATGTGCATTGTATGCCAATAATAAATATCTCGATGAAGCTGGGGAACAACATTAAATGCTAGACAATTACTTCGTGAAAGTGCTTGGAACTTAGTGGCTACTCAAGAAATGTTTCCCACTGCCCCTACCCTGCGGGGGGCTCGTGCTGATCCGGGGCCTCTGGCCAGGGGATCGAAGTGGGCTTTCTGACCCGGGCCTCCGAGCAGGGGGGGATCCAGGAAGGGCCTGCCTGGGGGGGCCTCTGGAAAGTGAAAGTGAGCGGAACTAATAATAGAAAACGGCATTAACACGACAGAACTTTCCAGCAGTGTCAAGACTCCAGGTTTAAAAGCAATTCAATAGAAAGTCCCTAAAGCCTTTTGGTAACACTTCTTCACAAGATCCAATGGGAACCTGACCTCCATGGCAAATGATAACAAGAAAATAGTTGTGTATTACTTTCTCTAATAATGAAAGTAGTTTATAATCATTATGGAAAATACATGAAAGTTTGAAAACAATTTAACATCACTCATAATCTGTCTCCCTTTCCATCTTCCATAACCGGCATTAATGTTTTGGTGAGTTTTCATTTCCAACTTTTTAAAAAAACAAGGTCATCAAAAAATGTATATAGTTTTGCATCCTGATTTTCCCCCACTTAATATTTTATCATAAACTTTGTTCTCAAATGTTCTTTAAAAGCATACTGAAAAACACAAGAGTCTCTAGTTAGAACCTATACCAAGATTCTAATTGCCAGAAACCATTTGGTGACAGAACACGCAGGGGCCAATCCTTTGCCAAGCCGTCCTCTTTGGCCCCTGCCTGCCACCTTATCCTGGGTCCAGCCCTGGCCGGGGATCAGGCAGCCCCACCTGCCAGTGTGCAGCCCCAGGCCCACCAACGAGGCTTTCCAGAGCTGGAAGGCTAAGCCCCGAACACCAAAGAGGAAAAAACAGAGGAAGCAGCAGGTTGAAGCTGGCCTTCTCACTCACCTGTCTGAGAAACCTGTTGTTGACGAGATCAACCACAAGGACCTGCAAGACGAGGAACAGGGACTGTTACTGTCACCAGTTTCTGGGATGTGGCGATGGGCTCTTAGCCTTCTTGGCACCCAGAGAGGCGGTAGGGGTGGGGGTGAAGCGGGCCATTTGTGGTTTCCTGACATTGCCACTGTAGCCACAAGTGATGGAAAGGGGAGGTGGGGGCAAGGGCTTTCCTGCATCGCATGCTTCCAGTGCTGAAACCGCAGGCTGGGACACATATACCACGGGCTGGACGCCCTGCCCTGCTTCCCACGGGCTAAGGCAGGGCCTCTCAGACGGTGCATGCATTTCAGGGCACGTGTTTACCGGGGCGGGCGAAACAGACTAGTGGCCCCGACTTATCCTTCCTCCACTGGACTCTGCTTCTCTACATCCAGGGGTTCTCTCTCCTTCCTCCCAGATGCCCACGTGGCCTTGTCATTTCTCTTCATGGGAGAGGAGGGGAAAAAGGGAAGGATCCAACTGGAGAGCAGATCAAGCTGCAGGTGCTGGGCTTTCCTTAGCTAAGGCTTTCAGATACAGCACCTTACCCTCCCAGGGCCAGCACCAGGCGACCAAGTGCCTTTGCCTGCAGGACTCCAAGACAGAGACCCTCCCTCAGGCCTCAGCAGAGGGCACTGGCTGTGAGGGAGGAGGAGCAGAGGACCTGGATGGCCACCAGGTTTCCACAAATGTGGTTCTAACATATCCCAGGGCCCCTTCCTCCTTCCTTCTCAAACATGCTCTGGGATGGAACTGAGCCACATTAGCGACCACAGCGTATCCGAGCTTCTTGCAGCTCACAAACCCACACTCAAAGACCCGAGTCTCCTGGTTAATATTAACGAGATGTGAGGACCACCTGGGCAATGAGAGGAGCCACACCCGGGGACCTGGGGTGAATTCTGGGGCCATGTGTCCCCTGGGGGTGCAGAACTGGGTGGCATCATTAGTCCCAGTGGCGTCCTCTCTGCTAGACTTCTCAGCACACGGGACAGAGGCTCCTTGGAGGAAGCTGCCAGAGCTAAATAAACACAGAGATGCCAAGCAGGGCCTTCTCCACCGGGATGCAAACCCGAACACCTGGAACCTGATCATTAATCACATTTTGGTGGTCACCGTTTCACTGACATGAAAAAGGACCTAGATGCAGACTTGGGGGGCAGCTATCTTACAGGCAAAGCTGTGGGGTCCCCGACTCCCGTTTGTTGCACAGCCTTAGCCAGGACCTCCCCTCTGCACCCCCACCCACCCCCCAAGGGAGCAGGGCCTCCCGAGAGCTCACCTCTTCCAGGGGCAGCTCCCGGAGCAGCGGCAGCGAGCTGGTGAGCAGCCCGACGAGGAAGGGCGTCGGCGAGCACACGATGTCGACCATGGCGGGCGGCAGCACGGGGATGTAGGTGTGCTGCCAGGTGAAGGGGTAGGTGATGGCCACCATTGCGTGGCAGCATTTGGACAGCGTGCTGCAGCGAGGAGAGAAGGGCTGAGTCAGGGAGGGTCAGGAGGGAGATGTTCACCCACCACCCCAAACGCATGTTGGTGAGAAGAGGCGTCGTGCACGTATTGGGTGTCATGCAGCAGAGCCCTGACGTGGTTACTTCAGGCACACGTAGCCTCCAAGAGGCTTTGGGACGTGGCCAAAGGGACAAATCTAATGCCCTTGCTAATTTTTCCAAGCGTGCCTGCGTGCAGGACAGCCCCATTCTTGTACCGTGTGGACAAAATCGTTCACTGCCGCCCCTCTCCCTACACCCCTTCCAAACCACACCTGGAGCGACTAAGGCCTGTCTTCTCACGGGTGCTCACTGTCCCACTGAGATGAGCTATGTTTGGTGGTTTTTTTTTTTTAAAGATTTTATTTTTAGAGAGAGGGGAAGGGAGGGAGAAAAAGAGGGAGAGACACATCAATGGGTTCTTTCCCCCAATTGGGGACCTGGCCTGCAACCCAGGCGTGTGCTCTGACTGGGAACTGAACCAAGAGCCTTCCATTTTAGGGCTGAAGGTGTGTTACATTCTAACACGAGCCTGTCTCTGTTCTTGCAGCCAAGCTGCACACCTCGCTGCAGCCAGGGAAACCTGGGGACTCCCAGGGTTTTCACAGGGCAGCAGTCAGCTGCGAAGGACTCTGTTTTGTGAAAGCGAAACTCGTGTCCAGTTACCCCTGGCCCAAGATTCAAAATTTAAAGAAATATCAACATAAAGGAAATAACAGGAGCCCCTCTCTTTTTAAGAATGCAAATATATATATATATATATATATATATATATATATATATATATATATAAATTTTTCCTCCCCTGAGAATTTTCTTTCTCAATTACAAGGGAGTCTCTCTCAAAGAATAATGACCTTATTGTAGCATTTTGTTGCCAAGCACGGAGCCTTATTAATCACTCTCCACACCGCTTAGCAAGGACTCACCATTCTCTATTGGGTTCCTGCTGTGTTTACTCAGTGAATGGGAGGATTATTCGGGATTATCACTTGGAATGTCGCTTCTACTGGGCCAGACAGCGATGGACCAGACAGCAACGGCGGCGATGGCCACTGCGCCGGCTCAGCCGTGCTCTGCTCAGGGAAAACGGCCAGGGGGCTGAGCTCTGGGTCCGTGACCGCAGCTTTCCTGGGTCCCCATTAGGTCAGGCAGCTATACGCGCATTGTCTTAGAACTTTGCGGAGCCTGTAACAAAACCGCTCCATGCTGGCTTACTTGAGGAGAAAAGCAGTGATTAGAACATACTGCCTAGGAAGTGAAATAAACTGGACAGAGAAAGACAAACGTGCTGTGATTCCACTTACACGGAGGGACCTGGGTAGAGGCAGGGAGTAGACAAAAGGTTGCTGGGGGCAGGGGAAGGGCGAAGGGGGTTGATGGGTCCAGAGTTCCAGTTTGAGGTGAAGAAAAGGCTCTAGAAACGCACATTCCTGACAGTTGCAAACACTGTGAATGTGCTTAATGCCACTGAACTGTATGCTTAAAAATTATTCATATGGTAAGTTCTATATAATGTATAAAAAATATTTACTAAGCTGCCAAGTGAATTACTCTGAGTCTAGCACCCCCCAAACACCCTAAAACAGACACTAGCCCTCTGCTTCATCCCACTCACATGTGGGGGTCCCTGAACCTAAGAAGGGCAATGTGGACTGTTTATTTACCATTGTGAGTCTCCTAACTTCCCTGTCCCCTCTCTTCACAAATAACCACTCTCGTGATGTTCCCTGGGGTCAGGAAATACTGCATAGTAGCATAGCATCCAGATGTCTCCATGGTATTTAGTCCTTGTCTTTTCTTTCAAATGATCACCCCCAAGTGAGAAAGATGCTACCCCAATATCTCGTTCTTAATCACTGTAACACCTTCTTTATTAGCTGAGCAGAGAATGAGACAGAAAAATTTAGTTAGGACTTATATCAAGGAAAGCAACATTGATAACTCAGCCACCAGGTTGGGGTGAAGTGACTTCTGTCTTTCAAAGATCTTCAAGGCTGAAAAACATTTTCCCCTGCAGGCACCAGTAAGTCAAGAACAGTAATACTTTTAGTGAATTGCTTAGTGTTTGTGTTGAATTTCCTTGATGTATAGATAACTGCATGGTAGCATTTACTGTGTTTTCTGATCTTAGAACGTATCTGTGTCCACCTGTGGCCAGTGTACAAAACTCATCTGCTCATGGACTGTAGCTATGAGGCCCTGACTTAGAAAATGAGGAGGTTAAAATATAAACGAGAACAGTAGTGTCCTGGGCAGGCTTTTTCAGACTACAGTTTGCAGCCTGTTTTAGAGAGTCCTAAAATAACGTTAATGGGTTCCAATTAGCATTAAAAACAACAACAGAAATAATGGAATAAAAATAAGAGAGTTTCCTGCACTTCTTTCCATTGTATGCGACAACGTGTGTACCTGTGTTGCATGTGTTGGGTCTGCGTGTGAAATGCATCTGCCATTGTAGACTGCAGTAACAGGGTTTGAAGCCAATGATGTGGACCAGCGAACTGGGGGGGGTGGAGACAGGCGGGGAGCGAAGGTTGAGTTGGAATTTTGATGTTATTACATGTTTTACTGGGATGTTGGCTTTCATTTCCAAGGGACTAGAGGGTGTCCCTTAAAAGACCTTAAGAGAGAACTCCCTGAATGAAGAAGTACTTTGTATTAAACCACCTCTTTTTATAGCACGTATGTTATACGTTCCTAAATACTGCTTGGAGAAGGAAGTGGGTCATGTGACTGTCTAGGTGGCAGACACCCCCTGTGGTCCACAACACTAGCCTTCGCCACTCTCACTTTAGTCAATTCACTAAAAGAGAAGAAAAATGCAGCCCTCGTGGTTAAGAGTCTTTTTACGTCTCAGAGTTGCGGTTTAAGCACTTTTGATTCCAGGGAAGGCACAGAATCACAGAACGTTTGGCCTGGGAGCAGTCTTAAGAGACAGAGTTCACTTTCTTTGAATTCTATGGCTGAAGAACCTGAGGCTGACACAGGGACCAGTCCCCTGGGAATTCAGGTGGGGGTGGGAGGGAGAGGTATCCTGCAAGAGGGGAGCAGAGGAAAGACGCCAAGAAGGGAGCCAGACGAGGCACAGCCAGGGCCTTTGAGTTTTTCTCAGTCACCGCAATAGAAAAATAAATCTGTTTAACTTTTTCCCAGCTCATAGAAAAGGCCTCCTCCGTCCTGCTTTCTCGTGGCCTCATCCCTAAGAAGGAGAAAGTATAACTGGATGCTCCCTCCTCTCAGCTGCGAGAGCACACGGCGGCCCGGGAAGCCCTGTGCTGCCCTGCTGTGCCCTGTGCTGCCCTGCTGTGCCCTGTGCTGCCCTGCTGTGCCCTGTGCTGCCCTGCTGTGCCTGGAGGCCGGGCGGGGCGGCCCCGGCTCAGCGGCAGTGAGTGTCACCCGGCTGGGTGATGAAGCCACTTGGAACCAGTTTAAAAAAAAAAAAAAAAGGGTAAGCAATGCCAGTGACACAGGGTGGGCGAATGCATGTCACAGAAAGGAAGATAAAATTCATTCGGGTAACTGAAATGTAGTGAGCTAAAGAACAACTGTATTCAATTGTGACAGGGACAACTAATGACAGCTCAGCGGGATAATCTGCTGGCCAGGCAGGTGGCATTGCCACTGTTGACGACGTGTCCTAACAAGCGGTTTTGGTTTGTTTGTTTTTTAAGTGGCCTGACCTTGTGGCAGCAGATCCAAGTGACTGCACACGGGTCTCTCGCGAACACCTCGCAGCCAGCGCACTTGGAGCCCAGGGCGCCAGGAGCGTGACTGGCAGCCCACACGGCGGAGCGGCTCACTCTCCTGCTCTCCGGCCCACGTTACTATTTATTTAAAAAATGTCCTTGAAACACTAGAAGGAGAGGTTAAATTCTGCAAATAATCAGCTAGTGGCAGCCTTTCCCCTAAAATAAGTGATAGAGGAGAAAAGAGGGACTATTTTAAATGTAGCTGAAGTGTTTTTCTAAGTCCCTGCTGCAAATGCTAATGAAATGTTATTCCCTGACTTGTGAAAGCCAGGAGAGCCTTCCCTGGGGCGGGCGGAGGCCGCCGCTAGGACCGGTGGTCCCTTAGGGATGTGCAGGGAACCGTCTCTGGCTCTGGGATGTTCGGGGTGGCTCTCCAAGCATGCCTGCCGCACAGCCGCACTGAGCGTCTGCCGTTAAGAGGGGAGGCAGGGTTGTTGAGAGAAGGCTCAGGAAGAGGGCCCGGGCAGCTGGCTCGCATTACAGTGTGGGCTGGGGAAAGGGACACCAGAAAGGAAGCTGTGATCAATTTGTACAAAAGTGGGGGAGGGAGATGAGCTGCTCCAGTGGGAGTCTGGCTGGAACGCAGGGTCAAAAGCTGGGCACCAGGGAGAAGGATGGGGTCCCAGAATGCTTTGCTGCTCGGTGGGGGCTCCTGAGAGCTGCAGCATGAGTGCAGAGACGTCAGGGTGCACCTGCGAGTGCTACAGCTCTCCTGCAGAAGACGCTCTGGCGCGGGTGCGACCCAGTCCCCGCACCACATTCGTGGGGTTGCTGTGCTCCGGCCTTCCGGCCCACCTAGCAGCCGGCGGGAATGGAGCAGAGAGCCTCCTTGCGGCTGCCACCGCAAGAGCAAATGACGAGCTTCTGAGTGAGACAGATACCCCAGCAATTTCAAGGAGGCACCAATCAGTACCCCAAGCAAAATCACTCTCCTACCAGGAACAGGAGTGACAGGTAGTCTCTGGTCTGCCTGGTGCCTGGTAAGACCTGGTGGGAGGTGGGTGTCACCACGCAGTGGCAGCCATATTGCCATTACCGTACTTTCAAACCCTGAAGGAATGTGCCACTGGGTTTACAAAGAACATAGGCTGGGTCTCAAGAAAACCGTGTGATTTCAGGTAAAGCCCTTAACTTCTCCAGGTCTTGGGGTCCTTCTCTGTGAAATAAGGAAAGTGGGCTAGATCATTTCCAATACCTATCCAGCTCTAACATCTATAA